ATACCTTGAAACCCTATCAAATTATAAAGGAATTGCAAGCTGCCGATAAATATCCGGGGTACTCCGCGTGCGAACATACATGCTGTGCTACTATGCGGATGTTTCCTGCCTGTGCAGGCATGCTCCTTCATCAGAGTCGCACAAATACCCATGTCAAAATCAGTATTCGAAATAGTGACCTGTGAAGAATGGGTACCTCTCATTGAATTCGAAGTAGAATTCAAAGTTCATAAACTACATCAAAACCAGGCAATTCTCTCTTATGCCATACATCACGCAATCTTACGAAGAGATTTCACTTACTGTGATATCAATACAAAAGCCAAACACTCCGCTTTTCGATCAAAGATTCGCCATCTCAGAGAAAGAAGCGTTAATAATACCCAATAATTTTGATCTACCTGTACAATGCCCGACGGCAAGCATGGCAGCGAAAAGCTTCTTTAATTGTAGCAATCAAATGCTATGCAATTGCCGAAGCTACAAAACACCACATACTTGCCATTGTCCAAAACACTCAATAAAAGACATTCGTGCAGAAATAGAAAATAGACTGCCTATTATCACGCCATCAATAGAATTTAGCTTCGAAGATATGCAGATTTATGCTCACTCAACAAAGAGCGAGGTTACACTCGCGATAAGATCGAACGTACTAATCAATAGCGCGGAGTTCATAATTGAACAAAAATGCTCCGTTGAATTAAGTGCTGTGACTGGATGCTATAACTGCCAAGAAGGTGCAGAGGTCACAGCATTTTGCAGTACAGCACTAGAATCCGTTGTGACAATTCAATGCGAAGACATAGCATTCACTGCAGAATGCGATCCTTCCAACAAAACCACTAAAATTGCACTCGAACTGAGTAAATCTCTTATCGCACAAAAATGCTTTGTAATATGCGATAAAAAAGAAATACCATTAGAACTAAATGGTCGATTACACTACCATGTGAGATATTTCTCTACATCCATGTTTGATGAGGACACCACACTCAAGCGAAAACATGGCCCTCACTCAATGACTTTCATTTTCCGGACTTGGAACCGGTCGCAAAGATTATTAAAGACAAGTGGAAAGTAACACTGGCAGCAATGGCTGTGACTGCAGCGGCATTAGGGATTACCTACATGTTTGGGCCACTTGCTATAATAATAATGTTGAAAGCAAGTTGCTTAGGAATAAAAATCATAGCGAATATAGCAAAAGACACAACCAAGAGAATCACCCAATGGTTGCGGAGAATACAGCAGTAGGCAATAAACTGTTCCAGCAGACCTCCAGTACACGGGTATCAACTTGTACATTACTGCTATTGTCTCTTGCCTCCACAAGGACGCTATCTATTCGAGTCACCTCAACGCTATAGAAACGTTACGTAACAGAACGCAAATAATCCACTTTGATAAAAAAAACGTGTATAAAAGCAAAGGTTATCAATTATCAGATATCATGACCAACATGTCTGAGTTCCATGCTGCTCTCGCCGAATTAGATCATGAGCAACACCTTTCGCCAGTCGTCAGAGCCATGAAGGTACTCGATGACAAAATAGAGTCACTATTTAATATAGTGACGTCATCGAGTGGCCGATTGGATCGCATTGAAACTGCACTTCAATTACTACTCGACCGCACTGCCCCTAAATGGCAGTGCATATTCTGTCAACCAACTGATGGCGAAGAGCCACATATCTCCAGCCGTTGCCCGAAGTACCCTGACCCCGTCAGCAGGGCACTACAGGCAACTGCATCTGGCTTGTGCACCAGATGCCTGAAAGCGGCGCACCGGACGGATTGCGGCGTCGTGTGCCAAGGGTGCATGATGCCGCACAACTTTCTGCTGTGTCCGTCGAGAGGTCACCAGACGAATGGGCAAGCGACGAATGGCAATGCGGCAAAGAAAAGGAAACATTTCAACTAATTTTATTCATTCGTCACATTTATGCCAACATTCATCGTTGTCAATGTAGGTTATTGCTAAGATGGTTTTTTTTTGTGAGGGGGGCGCGCGGAGTGTCTCGCTCTGCGTGACCCTTCGACCCTTTGACCCCTGATAGGGGGTCGTTTTGTCCCCCCGTATCAGCAGGCTGGCTATAAATAGCCGAAAAGCCACTGATACGGGGCATTTGTACGACCACAATAAATATTACAAAGCCACCGATTGCAATCACATATATACAAGCCAAAAGGCTTAAAAAGAATAAGGTAAAATACCCTAAGCAAACTTTACTCCCGAACAGGGACAGGGTGACCGAGATGGTACCATGAATTATGAAATCGAGAACCAAGAACCGAAATTTGTTTTATGGAAGAAAGAAAAGATGGTGATGTTCTGGCATTATCTTTCCGAGTCCGTGTTAGCAAGCAAATACTATAAAACCTCACAGCGTAAACCTCTTCAAAAAGACCAGAAAGTGTGCGGTGCAGACCATACACCACAAGTGACGACGGCCTCCAGAAAATGCAAATGTTTTTGCCAATGAAATGATTAACCTGTTACAGTTGTATTCGATCAGTTGACAGTAATTACAACTATCATTTACTAGAAATCAGCTATCACTATGAACCACTACTAACCAGATTTACTTCGGCATTGTTGAGGGCCGTGTCACGTGTGGTGGGCGCAGGACCGAGCCCCGTGTGTACACCACACAATTTTCCGGGCTTTTGAAGGAGAGAGGACTGTAGAATTGAAGTTAGAACTAAGAGGATTTGTTTAAAATACATCGGATAAGTATGGTTAGAAACAAGAAGTGGCGCTTTCACTAAAAGGGGGGGGGGGAAGGAGACGTTGTGTGTCAAAATACATCATAAAACATTCAAAGTTTTGAATCAAAACATTGCGAAGCACACACCCCAAGTGAGGAAGGAGTAAAGCCAAAATTTCTGCGTAAACTTATGGGATGGAGCTCTGAAATCTCTCACTACTTCCCTACTCCCCCCGCTGGAAAAGCGCCTGGTATATGATTCTTTGCATGGTTCATAAGTTGCTGTTTCCTTTACGTGGCTCTAGCTCAAATGATCTTTATCGAACAGCTCTTTCTCGAACAAGAGGAGGAAGGCTCAAAATAATGTTAGCATGTCCTAAAACTAATTGGAGAGCCAATTAGTTTTAGTAGACATGAAGCCAATAGCTTCACATGCAGAGCGGCAAGTGCATATATAAAAGTTACCAAAAATATTGCCATATGTCATTGAGGCAGTTCAAAAGGAAGATATCTGCAAAACTACTCAAATATGAAGTTTCGTAGGATCTTGAAATTGACTTTTTCCTGATCCTCCCTTTGTGATGTGATGAATTTTCCTTTGTCATTCAATTGAGATGCTGAGTTTTAATTGTATCATGAGTGATTTATTACGATTGTATTTCCCACGATTGCCTTATGCAACGTAATAAATAAATAAATAAATAAATAAATAATAAAATAAATAAATAAATAAATTAAATAAACACTGGGTCCTAATTCGGAAAATGGATTCAATTTTAGACAACTTATGCCCCCTCCCCCAAACACGTGCGCTCGGTCTTGCGTACTGCATGCGACACCATGTGCCACATGTGGCCACATAGAAAAGAAGCAATTCGTCTTGTTTGAT